ACCGTATCTAAATTGCTCTAACATAAAAAAAGTAACAATTTTGAAATTACACATGTACTTGTATAGCGATATTGATATAGTTTCCAAAATGAAACATCATTTCTCACAAACCTGAAGTTATTATGTCTTCAAAGTAATCTTTTTGCCCCATAATTAGGATTTTTATTCATTTATATTATATTTAATTTTTATATTAAATTTTCTATAATTATACCTAGTCCTATGTATACTGTATTAGGCCTAATCTTTTGAATTTTAATAGTCTATGATTTCCTCCCATTGAAAACATGGTTATATTGCTGTTGAGAAACATTGAGGGTAATAATAGCTAAAACATCTCCCCTCCCTTGATTTACTCAAACAACACAGCAGAGGTGCCAGGACTCCAACCTGTTTGATATAGATCAAACTGATTTCTATAATTTATCCATTATTTTTAGGGCTTTTATCATTCAAATACTATCTTCTATATCAAATAACAAACAGACACATTTAACAAATTGTACTAGAACTCAAAAAATTAACTTCCAGACCCTTTGTATTTATGACCACATTAGTGGTTAAATAATAATAGTAATACATTGAGCCATTCCTTCATTTTAGGAACTGGTGGCTGATAGGTGTTTCTGTTTTTTAAACACTTAAACATCCAGATGACACCAAGTAATCACAAACTCATTCATTCTTTTCAAATTCTTTAATGAAAACTTTTTTGAAAAATATATATTTATGAAGGCCAATGTTTTCTATTATTACTATTATTACTATTTTAAAAAAGGGGCAGAATCATTTTTTAGTGTCCAAAATTTAAAGGCTATTGACAAGTGATCATATAATAAACATGGGAAAGACAAAAAAGTGTCTCGGCCTTAAAGTGTAACACACGCAACGGTCTATCTTTAAATTTGATATAAACACTCAGTCCCCCCCCCCCCCCCCCCCACTCACATTACAAAGATTCATTTATTACACGATTACTCACAATGCCAAATAAACTGTGGAGGGAGTAGAAAAAAAATCAAGAGCATTGAAGGCTCGCAAGCCAAAGTGGGGACATGGGCGGGAAAGGGCATTGAAGGCTCCTAAGCCAAAGTGGGGGCAAAGGCTGGAAAGGACATAGCCCTTTTCACCCCAAAAAGTTTGATGGATTCAAAATAAGAGGATTCACTTTGGTGCACACCTGAATTTAGTTTTGCATCAATCAACTCTCAATCAAAGATCAACAGAAAAATGCTATGAATTTATTTTTATTTTTATTAAATAGTAATGTTGTTTAATAATATTTTTTAAGCTATTATAAAACTATTTAATCAATTTTGCTTAAAATTTGTCATTAGTAAATGATTTTTTTTGAAAAGATGCCTATGAATGAAAATTACGGGCGCTTACAACACAAAAAAGTACAATATATATACTGCTTCCCATTTAGGTCAAGTGAGTTGTGGCCCCAAGTTATATTAGGATCAAGGAGAGACCGCCAATACAAACGCATGAAGAAAAATGGCTCGATTGAACTGAGAGAGGAGGTACTGAGACTCCGCCGAACCATTCAACGCTTATTGCGTAGATCGTATTGGAACTACATGAACGGCATCTTCTCAGAGGAAGACACCCCGACCAAAGATGTCAAGAACAAGCGCTTCTGGAGCTATGTGAAACACCAAAAGTCCTCAAACGCTGGAGTTTCCCCCTTGAGGTGGGATGGCCAATTGACATCTGACCCAAAAGCACAGGCGGAGATACTCAATCAGCAGTTCCAGTCGGTCTTTGGTGACGGTAGAGAGTACTCTGAGACTGAGTTCCTTCTGAAGACCAAAATGATGAACAGAGCCTATCCTATCATGGGAGATATCCAGATATCAGAACAAGGTGTGTTTGCCCTCCTCAATACCATTAACCCTTACAAAGCATGTGGTCCTGACAACATTAAACCACGAGTGCTCAAAGAATTAGCCAAAGAAATCGCTCCTGCACTGACAATCCTCTTCCAATCGTCACTATGCACAGGAAATGTTCCAGCAGACTGGAGAACAGCGCATGTCACTCCAATTTACAAGAAAGGAGAGCATTCCGACCCTGCCAACTATCGTCCGATATCCCTCACTAGCGTCGTCTGCAAACTGTTGGAGCACATAATCGTAAGCTCTGTCATGAAGCATCTTGAAAGCCAAAATATACTCAATGACTGTCAACATGGCTTCCGAGTCAATAGGTCATGTGAGACCCAGCTTCTCGAATTTGTAGAAGACTTGATGACCAATCTGGAGAACCACAAGCAGACTGACGTGCTAGTAATGGACTTCGCAAAAGCATTTGACCGGGTGAATCATAGTTTGCTTCTACACAAACTCCAGATATATGGGATTCAAGGCACCACTAAAACATGGATCTCTAGCTTCCTCAGCCACCGACGCCAAGCAGTAGTGGTGGGCGGTACAAGCTCCTCCTTTGTCAATGTGAAGTCAGGGGTCCCCCAGGGATCAGTCCTGGGCCCCTGTTTGTTCCTAGCATACATTAATGACCTACCGGAGAAACTGACATCACAGGCAAGACTGTTTGCAGATGACACAGCAGTGTATAGGACGATCGCCAACAGATCTGACCAGGACCAGCTACAACAGGATCTCAATCTGTTAGCTGAGTGGGAGATGAGCTGGGACATGGAATTTCACCCTGCCAAGTGCCAGACACTATCAATCTCTAGAAGTTGTACTCCTCTACACTACCAATACAAACTGCACGGCCATATTCTTGAGCAAGTTTCCTCCGTAAAGTACCTGGGTGTTACCATTCAAAGAGAGGTCCGCTGGGACGAGCATATTAACAATGTATGTAACCAAGCAAACCAAGCCTTGGGGTTCTTAAGGCGAAATCTAAAGATTGGCAACTCCTGTGTGAAAGAAAGAGCATATAAAGCCTTTATCCGTCCGATTTTAGATTATGCATCTTCAGTCTGGGACCCATTTACCCAGAAGAGCATTGACAGGTTGGAGGCGGTCCAGCGACGAGCAGCACGCTTTGTCCTAAACCGCTACAGGAATACCTCTAGTGTTGGCAGCATGCTAGAAACACTAGGCTGGTCACCATTGGAGAAACGACGACGACAATCCAGGCTCTCCATGATGTACAAGATAAATAATGGGCTGGTCCACTGTTCCAGTATTAAACAGAAACTCGTCCCTCTCCCCCATAGACAGCGACGAGGCCATGACAGGCAATTCAGGCTCATACCAGCAAGAAGCCAGTATAGGAACTGCTCATTCCTGCCCAAGACAATCAGGGACTGGAACCATCTCTCAAAAGGAACAGTTGAGGCGACAACACTAGACACATTTGTGTCTATTGCCTCAAGCCTTCAAACCCCTAGTGCATAATTTCCTCATCACCACCAGTAACAGAAACATTGCAAATCCCATCTACATGCATAGGAGCCAAAATGATCAATAAATTGATCGTGGGCCCTTAAGATATAGAAGAAGAAGAATGGCTGAAGGAGCAGTATGTCAATTCTGGCTTTAAAAAAAAAATTAATTGCAAACATTGAAGGAGTATTATGTTCCATGTTTTATTTCGTCTTCTTTAATTATTTTAATCATACTACATGTTCATTCCTTTTAGCCAGAAGGTTCTCAGACTGGGCGTACTACAATAGCTATCTATGAATTATACATAGACAGCTATGTTTCCCTATGTTGACAGTATCCAGAGACTCGGTCATCTTAATCTGACCATGCATCATAACAAAAAAAAATTAGAATGCAAACACATGATAACGTTCAAAGTCATGATAGCAGTGGTGGATTTACGGTACTTTAAGACCAAGTGAAATGTCTTGTGGGTAAAAGATCCCAAGTACCGTGGCATAAACTAAAATCATTGAAATTATAATGAAAATATTATAGAAATTTATTGAACTTTGACTACTAAATAAACTGCACTTACAATTATATTATAGAGATTTATTGACTAATTAAAAAAACAACTGTATTTACAATTAGACTAATTTAAAACTAATAAGTACATTTCTATAAAAATAAATCACAATGGTGCATTTCAAGTTAATGTTATAAAATGGCTGCTTCTCCTGGGTCCTGGGTGTGGAAGTTGTATTTCTCCCTTTTTGTCATTCAACTCATAATGCATTTTAACTGACTTTTGTTTGTTGCCTGAAGAAGGCAAAAGTTAACTATTTGTCATTTTAATGTATATTATTCCAGCTTTCACACTAAGCTTATTATTATTTCATGTCATCCTGTGTCATCAAAAGAAAATATCTATCAAAACCTTTCGTTGACTGTCGCTCACATTGATGGCTTGTTTTTTTTTTCTCTCCCAAAAGTACACACAACATTTCAATTTAACTGGGTTGGAATAAAAGTTTTAACTTAAATACACTGAATTTTTAGTTCCACAATCTCATAATAATGAGCAGTAATTGATGGTCAAGTAAAAGTATGCCTTGCGCATAAAACTCCTTCAAGAATATTGAGGCACATGTGAGATGACATTCTGAGCTGGAATGCATTAGCAAGCAAGAGATATTTATTACAAAACACAAAAAATTACAATCTATATTAATGAATTATTTTTGTTAAGTTTTCCTAGGACTAAAAAATTACCCATGACGCCTGACAACACCTAAAAATTTCACATTACATATTCATAATGCATTTTTAATTTAATATGGATTACATAAAATATATTATAATCATATATATGTTTTATATGTAATAATACAGTCCATAAGTTAAATTTTGGTCAAATTTTTTTCCAATAAAATGTTTTATGTACCTTCTTTAAAAACAAGATATTTACACCAACCTCCAGAGCCCATCATCAGCACAGATCTTATAATTGCCAGTTTTATTTCAACAAGATTGTCTCAGACTGTTGATATCTCTTACAAAAACTGTTTATGACTTTATCCCTTGTATTAAGATTTCACTAAATATTTAATGTCAGTCTGCAGTCCTCATCGTCATTCATTTATCTTGCAGGCTAGAGACGAGACGAAACTCTCACTGGAGAGATTAAAGATGGAGTTGGTGGAGAGCAGCTCCCTCGTGTTAGAGAATGAACAGCAACGACAGCGGTACGAGCAATGTCTTGATGAGATAGCCAATCATATGGTTCAGGCTTTTTGGCTAAAAGGTAACTATCTTCAAAATGGTGTTTCAGTGCCTCATATGTAGCTCTACTTGTCTGTTTAGTACATTTAATAAAATATGTGATCTGTTAATTGCTTATAATATCAATATATTATTTTTCATTATATTCAATTTTAATTTTCAATTTTTTCTTTTAACAAATATAAAATTTAATAAATACTAGATCTAATACCATACTTTAAGTTGTGTGTTTATAAAATATATGAAATAGTTCATACATAATTTATTGCAATCAATATCTGTAAAGATTGCTTACTTATCTGTTAGTAGGCTCTTGTCTGAAGTGGAATCTTGTCTGAAGTAGATTATAATCTTGATCATGGACAAGAATTACCATGTTAGTTCATCTTAAAATGTTAAAATTATTTAACAAAATTTTTAATTTTATAAATATATTTTTAGCTGTTTTAAAAAAAAATTTTTTGATATCCTGAAATTTTAATTACTTTTAAATTTCTTTTCTAGATTCAACTATAGAAAAGCTTTGAGCTACCCAAACTGAATGACCCCAGTACCAGCCCCAGTAACAACTCACCAGCTGTGGTTAGCTACAATTTTTTCTAAAAAATAACTTTCTGGGTTTAAAGTGAATATGAATCTTAACTTAAAATAAATTAAAACAAAAAAAATTTCAAGTGTAAAATTAAAATTTGAAAAAGTTAAACATTAATTTTCTATTCCAGAAAACTTTCATGTAGACTTCAATCCAAAAATTGTTTACCATATAACTTTTGCTGCGCTGCTTATCGAATTCTATAATAGTAAAATAAGTAATCAAAATTAAGTCACAAACAGGCTTAACACATGCTACTGTAAATGCAAACTCTGATCTGAAATGTAATTATTTTTTTTTAAACCTACTCAGAAAGAGCAAGTACATGATCATTGGAGGGACTCACTGGATTCTGAGGGACCAAGTACATGATCACTGAAGGGACTCACTGAATTCCCAAGGACCAAGTACATGATCACTTAAGGGACTCACTGGATTTTGAGGAAACCAAGTACATCTTGGCGTCAAGATTAGGAGCTCATTGAAATCAAATAATTGCATTCATTACATTTGACAGTGCTATATATATTTAAATATGTTTATTAACGCTAATTCAGTGGTTCTCAACTTGTGGATCGGGACACCCTAGGGCAGTGCCGTCCAAACTTTTTGACTCTGTGGGCCAAAAATTTTTTTTACGCTAAGCTTGTGTCCTGCTTTCTACTCATTGAACATCTCATACTCTGATCTCAAGATACCAGGTACCATACTTTTCCCCAACGTCACAACAATACAGGATGGACACACACTCTCCCATACCTGGCTAGACTACCTGTTTAAATATCATGGCAACCTAAATGGTCCGTTCCCCCTCCGTTGTCATCTGTGACACCAAGACTTCTCGTGTCATATATATTTTTATCATCATAAAAAGTGCAGTTGGTGGGGGCATGGACATTTTGAGTGTGATCAAATAGCTGCACATCAAGTCACTTTTGGTTTCCCCATTCATCGTTCTCAATGCCGCTGTTAGTAATTGTACCCAGTGACCCCTCCCCTGTACAAGCAATAGAAAAAAGGAGAAGCAGGATCAAATTTCATGTCTCCCCATTTTCTTGAATGGTTGCTCTGCAGATGTGAAGACAGGATCAAATTTCATGTCTCCCCATTTTCTTGAATGGTTGCTCTGCTGATGTGAAGAAATTATCAAATTTCATGTCTCCCCATTTTCTTGAATGGTTGCTCTGCAGATGTGAAGACAGGATCAAATTTCATGTCTCCCCATTTTCTTGAATGGTTGCTCTGCAGATGTGAAGACAGGATCAAATTTCATGTCTCCCCATTTTCTTGAATGGTTGCTCTGCAGATGTGCTTAACATTAGTTACTGCTATCTGTCAGGCCCCACTCCTTAGATTTTCTGACCTCTCACTTTTCCGTGTCACAATTTCTCCTGTGATGTCACACGAATCCCCCAACAACCCTGAATCAATGAATGATGAATGTCATATGAATGATGAATGTCATATGAATGATGAATGTCATATGAATGATGAATGTCATATGAATGATGAATGTCATATGAATGATGAATGTCATATGAATGATGAATGTCATTGGAAAATATTTTCAGCATGAAATGTTTTATTTTTTTACACACATCACAAAAAATTTGAAGCTATCGCTTGCCAGTGCTCTAGGGCTTGCCAGTGCTCTAGGGCTTGCCAGTGCTCTAGGGCTTGCCAGTGCTCTAGGGCTTGCCAGTGCTCTAGGGCTTGCCAGTGCTCTAGGGCTTGCCAGTGCTCTAGGGCGCCGTGTAACAAAGTACCAGATGTTTGAGTGGTTGTAAAAAAATCTTTAACTTATGTGTGAACATTTTTTATGTAACAACATCTTTTATTTTAAATTGAAAAATGAATGTGGTCTACAACAACAACTTTGCTAATGCTATCAAGAGGTCGCTGCGATCAAAAGGTTGAAAACCGCAACACTAATTATTAATGTATGAAGTTGGAATGTTTTAAAATTTTTAATCCTCATTTGCAATCACAAGACTTTAAATAACTGCGGAGCAAGTATATGGTCTATACAATTTATCCCCTCTTCTGATCTGACAAGATGGCTTCATAGCTGCTGAGCAATTATCCAATCTATACAATCTATCCAATCTATACAATCTATCCAATCTATACAATCTATCCAATCTATACAATCTATCATCTCTGCTAGCCTGATAAGATGGCTTTTAATAACTTGAATGACAATCTTTTACTGGTCAAGGGAAGCAACTATAGTCAGTTGATTGCCTCTTAGGAAGCTTTATACAGAATCAGGTTTCTTTTCCACGGCCACCTCTCTTTTATATTGTAACAGTTCTTTTTGGGTCTTTGATAGGTTTTTGCTCCATGTTCTGTCCATCTTAGGGCTGTCCTGTGATACGTTCCATGTTCTGTCCATCTTAGGGCTGTCCTGTGATATGTTCCATGTTCTGTCCATCTTAGGGCTGTCCTGTGACATGTTCCATGTTCTGTCCATCTTAGGGCTGTCCTGTGATATGTTCCATGTTCTGTCCATCTTAGGGCTGTCCTGTGATACGTTCCATGTTCTGTCCATCTTAGGGCTGTCCTGTGATATGTTCCATGTTCTGTCCATCTTAGGGCTGTCCTGGGAAGTGAGCTTGGTGGTATTCTACGGATATATCCATGCAGTCTCCAGTAATTATCTGCTATTAATTTATGCATTTTTTTCCCACAATGGTTGTTACACTTGATTGGCATTTCAGTTCTTCATTGCATCGTCTTTGGTCAGAATATTCTATGGGAGCTTCACAGGCATTTGGTCAGAATATTCTATGGGAGCTTCATAGGCATTTGGTCTCGAGAAATTCTAGTATTCTAGCTTCCATTTTAATGTGATTGTGGTCTTCTAGCATAGATTATAATCAAGATATTGTCAGTGTCACAATTGCCACCTCTTGTGACCTCACTTCCTAGGTGCTTCCACTCTGTAACATCTTTGAGGATGCTATTGTTCAGTGATTGTGTTCTCCACTTGTGTTTTTTTTTTCTCATGACCTGTGACCTCCTGGTTTTGATGTTAGACCCTGTCAGGTCATTTTACTCACCCTACAATTGAAGACCCTAGTCTAGCTAGAATAGAAGTACTTGAGTCACATTTTTGTCAAAACCTAAACTGTGACTTTTTCTTATCCAGTTTAGCCAAGTGTACTGCATAAATTTAGACACATTAAAATGTACTCAAGTCCTTGAGTTAATCGAGACAAAATATGAAAATGATCACATTTGAATAATTTTATAGATGTAAAGAATAGTTGAAACTTGATTATCTTAAAATGAGTATTTTTTGACAGAAATGTTTTTACAAAATCAGAGTAAACTAAACAAACATTCCAAAAGTCAGATTTAAATTAAAATTCAAATTTTTTATGAATTCCCAACAGTTGTTGGTGGGGACGACATTTGCCTTCTGTTGTCCACTACAAAGCTGTTGTTGACATTGTCATTCAAAGTAATCTGTTCACATCTTTTTCTTCCTGTCAACAGTCAATACACTTTGTTGTGAATGTAACTGAACACTCATTTGGTTTACATGAAAAAAATGGTGGTATGTTTTTATTCAAAGAAATACTATTGTAATGACCATTGGTAAAAGTATTTTGTCCATAGATTTCTATTATTTGTTAAAGATATTTGGCCCTGCATTCATATTGGCAAGAGTCAAGAAAATGGTATTGCAAAATTTAATTTAATTTAGTGATGTTATATGTGGAGAAAAAATAGTCTTTTTGGTATATGTGTTGAATTTTTTAATATGATGTTATATGTTTATATGAGCAGATTTTAAATATGCCGAAAAAAATGAATTTAAAAAATTATTTATTATATTTAACATGTTATGTGATTTATTCAATTTAACATGTTAATGGATTTTTTCTATTTTAACAAGTAGATGTATAACTTAGCAAAGTGTAATTCAAGTAACTGTACACATATTTTATGTTTCTTTGTATTGATTGTGAACAGTGATGGAAAAGCAAACTGTAATACCAAGTCCATATTTTCAAACATGCCACCATCAATGCCACTAGTGCATGTTCACTGTGACACATATTCTGTGTTTATTTCATGCTCTGCTTGGTCACTCTCTGTTTTCTTTGTGTTGTGTTAATTTTCTTATCTCATCTAGTCTTATTATAATTGATGTACTTGATTAATTTGAATTAATTTCTTGAAGCAGCCATTGACTGAGACAACCATGGTTCTCCAGCAGGCATCAAATTGGACTCCTGTGTTTGTGTTCTTTTATGATGAATTTGAGACAAATGCAGGGTAAGCTTGTCTCATCATTATGCAAGGGAGATAATGGGGTTAATGTTAAACTACAGTTTAATAATTTTTAAAAAATTGGAAAATTAAATGGAAAATAAAAATTATTTTACAACCAAACATTTGCTTTGTT